TGCTCTCCAACAATCCCGCCCCCATATAAAAAACATAATGTCGGCATCCGGCGCGAGGGGGGGGGGGGGGGGGGGGGGGGCAGGGTTTAAGCGTCGTGGCCACAAACCGCGACGCCCCAAAACACCCGCCTCAGACGTCTATCCCTCGCGAACCCCCCACCGCTCGCATCCCCAGCGGCCCAGGTGCGAGTCCCCGCAAGAGGCCCAGGAAACGCGCCCGCGGCAGAGAGGATCGGGTCGTCGGGAGGGGGAGGGACATTCGTCCAATCGCGGGGCACGAGACCGCGATGCCAGAAACACGGAAGCTCAGCAGCAACAGACGCAGCTTTCCTGGAGAACGCTTCAGCAATCTGCTGGAATTCGGCATTGCACGGGCACTCCCAGAAACGGTGGATGCCCGTCTCAGGGGCCTGCTCACAGCGGGGGCAGGCGAGCTCACACACACACGCACACACACACACACACACCGCAAGCCTGAATTCGGGACCTCGCCCAGACGGCCCCCGCGAGCACTGCTCGTAGCAGGCCCCAATTCTGAACCGACTTACGACGCGAGGACGCAAGGTGCCGCCGCGGGACCGAAAGGTCGACGCCCGAAGCAAGACCCCCACCATTGCGGAACTCGGCGGCCGCAGACCATAAACGCGCCTCAATGTTACGGTCAACCTCCTTTTAAAAATCAGACGCCATATAAGCTCGGGAGCGAAGCTCGTCGGGAACCGCAAAGACGTCACCCCCAGGGGGGGCCCAAGACCACGGCCCGTCGAGCTTCCACCGCAAGGCCGTCATGGTGGCGACCGCAGCCGACGCTGGTCCTGTGATATTGTGCCACCTGCGCTGGGGGCCCAAGCTATCGACGCGCTCGACCGTGGACTCCCAACTGGCACGCGTGCGATCCAAACCTTTCTCAAGCGCAGCAGCAACGATCTGAAACCACGAGTCCAGCAACTGAAACACAGCGGTGAAAGAGGGATCCTTATTCCGCACCTCAAGGGCCAGCAAGGTCATGAGACAACGCCCTGCCGTGCCACGGGTTAAACTGCTAGCTCAGGCCCGTCGCCATTTCTGAAAGACCGAGGGCGCGACCCCAAAAACCTCCCAGGCGTAGGAAGCCTTCGGCACAGCCCCAGCGAGGATTAACCGCGCCCCGATCTTGCGAGGACCCACAGTAGCGGGCTTATTATTTCGACAAGCTCCTCTAGTGGCCTGTCCAAGACGCTTGGAGCGACGGGGCTCGGCAACTGTAACGCCACTGCCCCTCTCAATGTCCGGGTCCGCCGCAACCGAGGCCACTTCGACCTGGGCGCCCTTCAGTCCTAGGCCAGCTTGGATAGCTCGCGCCACCGAAAGCTCTGACGCCACAGGGGCCGATTTGCTCGCAATCTTAAGCTGCTCCTGATCGCAGCCCGAAGCAAAAACAGCACCGGCTTGTACTAATTCACGACTTACATCACGTTTCCATCCCTCGGCGCGCTGGGCGACGCGATCAATCCACGCGCGCAAGGAAACAAGCGCGCTGCTAGCGCGCGAGCGTTCACACATTTCGAACATCTGGCATTTCGAAAAGTCGGGGGCCCTGCGAGCACCAGCAACGAGCCCCCCATGACGCGGCATAGGTGGAGCGAGAACCCCATCATCCATCAAAAACCGAGGCCCCATGTGGGGGGCGCCTTCAAAGGTCAAGGGGCGCGGGGGGAAATCGAGATCGATCGCGTGATCAACCGCGCGCCCCCGCCGAATCGCGTCGCAGAACGCCCCGGCGCCCCGCGGCGCCGAGGCGGAGCAAAACTCGGGCAAGACCGAGCCAAGCGCAGCCTCGTCCGCATAACACCTGAGCAGAGCCTCCCGTAGAGCGCTGCTGCCGCGAACCGCGGCGCCCCAAGGGCCGTTGCGAGCCGCGGCCCGCGCCCGCGCGCGGCCCCGCGAATGACCCAGCCAAGCGAGCAATCCTATGGCGCGATCCTTCCGCACGTCAGGCTTGCGAAGCAAAGCGAGAACGGCCGCGGGCCACTGCCGAGGCCAAGCGACCTTGGCGGAGGAGGGGGGGGGCGGGGGGGGGGCAGGGGGGCGACGAGGATGGATGAGGAGGAGGATGAGGAGGGCAGCGAGCGTCTTCTTATTCGGCGCCTCGGCATTGGGCTGAAGGGGGGGACGGGTCGAGGGGGTCTGGCCCCGGGCCTCTGCTTGGCGCGACTGTTCGGGGCCGCGCGCCCCCCAGCTGCTCGACAGTCGCCGCAGACAGCCGAGATCTACTCCGCGGAGAGGAGGGGGGGTGCGAGGGCCCGCGCCGATCGGCAAACTAATGATTATATATATATATATATATATATATATATATATATAACGCTCACGTAGCAGCCCGAAGATTGTCTGTGCTACTTCGGTTTCATGGCAAGGGGGCCTCAAACAACTATCGCAGCACGCCCCGTGCACACTTGGGCCCCCGCGGGGTCCGACCCCTTAGTGCTGTCTGCCACCTTGCCCAAGGATCGCGCGGCGTTTGGGGGGCGGACTTGATGGCCGCAGGAGGGGGGTTGGTGTGTGATGCCCGACGTCATTAAGTGCACTTTGGCGGCGCCACGCTGCATTTGCTGCAGCGCAGAGCCTGCGCGCATGCTGCCTCGGTCCACATATTTGCAAGAGGTATCCGCCTCCACTGGAACCGAAGGCAGCAACTGCACTTTGGCGACGCAACGCCACTTATGAACATTACACAGGGAAGTTCCCTCACGCAGATCAGGTCTCCTGGTCTGCCCTGCGCTCTCCACATTCGCGCGGCCCCGACACGATGGCGGCACATCTCTCTCTACGCAGGGTAGGAACCATCATGAAAACCATGGATCGCGGCCCAACAATTGCACGCTTCTCCCCTGTAGGTAAGGGGAAGCCTGAAACAACCTGATTGCAGCGCACAACGTGCACACTCGGATCTCCGCAGGGACTCGCTCAGTACTACTTTTCTGGGGGAGGCGGCTGCACATAGGAGGGCAGACGCGCTTTCTTGACCACCTACAGAGTGCACGTAGGTCCCCTACGGGGTCGACCCCGTCAATACAGGCACCCCATCTCAATGCGCGCAGCGCGCCCAAACCGGTTCGCCTGTTTTCCTGCTCGCAGCCGCGGCATGCCAGGATGGCGCATACTCTTGTGGGCGGGATGTGGTGGGTGGAGGGCTGCTGCCCCCCCCCCCCCCCCCCCTCCCCCCAGCAAGAGCGGCGCGTGTTTTTTTCCACAGCGCCGGGGCTACGCCCATGGCCAGCCCGCGCTACTCTACACGCTGCTCGCGCACTCCATGCAGGGAGGGCAGGCGAGCTTATCTTGACCGCGCACAAAGCGCACCTGCCCCCCCTACGGGGTCGACTCCATCAATATAGGCAGCGCACCAGACATCTCTGTGTTATGTCTTGCTCAGCTGTGGCAGGCCATACTCATGAGGCGGGAGTGCCAGGTCGACCTGGAGCGGTGCATGGGACGGAGGCGGATGTTTTCATCGCGAAGACAAAACGAAGTACAGCAGCAGTACCCTGGCTGATGGGGCAACGTCGGGAACCCCCTCCGACGAAGCGCCACTCAACATCGATGCACCTGCGCGGTAATATTCCACAAGGCGCCCTTATGTGGTTGAGATTCGGGGCACAAGAACTTCCACTCGAAATCCTCTTCCACTGTGAATCGAAAAGTGGATGGAGTCGGATTGTAACAGCGCTACCCGTCAGATGTGCTGACTCCTTTTGTGGCCTATACTTTGCTACTCCTTTGAACGGCCATACTGTACCATTGCGGCAGTACCTCGACTGACCCAGTTCAAGCGGCAGCGCTCTACCCCAGGGCTGAAGCTACATCCTCTGGGGAGGACGAATGGCTTACACCATTGATAGCTAACACTTGGTACAACTGTACGGCCTTCAGACCAGCCTTATCATGACACAGGCCAGCCTAATTCTGCTGCCAACACTCTCAGCAGATACCGCCATAGGACTGGTAACATACAGCAGTACCGCCTGCAGGCCAGCCTTCGACCTCACAGGCCAGCCTTCCAGACCGCAGGCGATTGACCTATCCTCGCTCTCCATCCGCATACCTACCCCCGCAATTGTGCCATGCGTGCGGTGACGGTGGCCCCCTCCGCCTAGGAAACGAAGAGCGGGCCTACCGCTGGCTAAAAAAGCGTGCCTACTGCTGGCAAGAGGGGCCGTACAAAGCTTACTACGGCCATGCTTCTTTTTTAAACGCAGCATGCCAATCGGCACACACTGGGAAAATGGGCTGGGTTCGGAAGATACCTGGGCTGGGTGGGGGTAGGGGATATCCTACGGCAGCAACTGCAATTTGGTGGCGTAGTGCCACGGCTCTACTAGTTGGGAACATCGCAGCCAGTGTTTTCTCTTGCTCACAACTGCAGCCTGCCAACATGGCACTTATTCTGAAAAACGGATGGGGATTGGATGTGGTTCTGGGGGTGGGGGAGTTGAGCTACGGTTTGGGGTACACCAAAACCCTGGGAAGCACCCCTAGAACTGCTACAGTGCCACTCCCTTTCAAGCTTGGCGTCGTTCGTTGCACTCCTCTGAACTGACGACAGTCACCATCGATCTTAAGGTTGTTACTCAGAGAAATACTGCTCAGAGGAACTGACGACACTCTCCTTAGCCTAAGGTGAGTGTCGTCCCACCTGGCGGGCGCCTACTCTCACTATTATTTTCTTCCCACGCTCGCTTTCCTTCGTTTCCCGTGGCGTCCGCCAGGTGTTTTTGTTGACCCGAGTCGTTTATCTTCCTCCACTGCAAGAACGACCCATGTGCACACATAGGATCTGGCCAACGCAAAAGGAGGAGGAGGAGGAGGAGGAGGAGAAGCGAGCGAGGCGAGGAGGGAGGGATGACGACGGAGACGAGGGCGGAAGTACAAGGGGGGGGGGGGGCGGCGGCGACAACGACGACGTCGACCAGGGCGGCAGCGGCGGCGGCGTCGACGAGCACCCCCCCTCCGCGGCGGCTCGCCATGGCCCCGCCAGGCTGCGGCGTGGGTACCACGGCGTCCGTGGCGTCCTCGCCTCCTGGCCGGCGCAGGCGGGGCGGGCTCATCGATCCTCCTCCTCGATCCTCCTCCTCTTCCTCCCCCTCCTCGTCCTCCTCCTCCACCTCCTCCTCCTCGGTCCTCGTCGGCCCTCATCAATCCTCCCTTGGCCCGATCATCACCCTCCTGGATCCTCCCCCTCCTCCTCCTCCTCCTCCTCCTCCTCCTCCTCCTCCTCTTCCTCCTCCTCGATCCTCCCCCTCCCCGATCCTCCTCCTCGTCCTCGTCCTCCTCCTCCTGCTCCTCCTCCTCCTCCTCGGTCCTCCTTCTCGACCCCCCTCGCCCTCCCCGATCCTCCCCCTCCCCGACTGCTCCTGCTCCTGCTCCTCCTCCTCCTCCTCCTCCACCTCCTCCAGCTCCTCCTCCTCGTCATCATCATCATCATCATCATCATCATCATCATCATCATCATCATCATCATCATCATCATCTTCAGCATCACCATCAGCATCATTATCATCATCAGCAGCAGCAGCAGCATCATCAGCATCATCGTCATCATCGTCATCATCATCATCATCAGCATTGTCATCATCATCATCATCATCATCAGCATCATCATCATCATCATCATCATCGACAGCATCATCCTCATTCTCATCCTCATCCTCCTCCTCCGCCTCAGCATCATCAGCATCAGCATCATCGTATCTGTCATTGTCATCATCAGTGTCATCACCAGCATCATCACCATCAACAGCACATCATCATCATGGCATCATCAACATCACCATCAATATCATCATCATCATTACCATCAGCAGCAGCATCATCACCGTCGTCAGCATCCTCACTACCACAACCATCACCATCAGCACCAGCATCAGCATCACCAGCATCTCCATCACCATCACCATCACCATCACCATCATCATCATCATCATCATCATCATCATCAGCATCGTAACAATCATCATCAGCGGCACAAGCAGCATCACCATGTTCATCATCAGCATCATCATCAGCGGCATGATATTGACACTCTTCATCAGCATCGTTGTCATCCTCATCAGCAGCAGCATCATAAAGATCAACAGAAGAGGCATCGTCATCATCGGCGTCACACTCATCACCATCATCAATATCAGCATCGTCATCAACATCAGCATCATCATCAACAGCTTCATCGTCACCATCTTCATCCTCATCCTCATCCTCATCCTCGTCCTCTTCGTCATCAGCATCATCATCGTAACACTCAGCATCATCGTCATCATAGTCAGCATCATCATCATCGTTATGGACATCGTCATCGACATCGTCGTCATCATCATTATCATCACAATAATCATAATCTTTCTCATCACCACCATTGTCAGAATCATCATCACCTTTCTCATCGCCATCAGCATCATAATCAGCGACAGCATCATCACAAGCATCATCACCACCATCACCATCACCAGCACCATCATCATCACTAACAGCATCATCATCCTCATCATCACCAGTGTCATTATCATCATCATCAGCATCATCATCATGATCATCATCACCACCACCATCATCATCATGATCATCATCATCATCATCAATTTCATAATCATCAGCATCGCCATCATCAACATGTTCGTCATCATCAGCACCAGCACCAGCACCAGCACCAGCACCAGCACCAGCACCAGCACCAGCACCAGCACCAGCACCAGCACCAGCACCACCATCATCATCATCATCATCATCATCATCATCATCATCATCATCCCTCTCCTCCTTCTCCTCCCCCATGCCCCCACCCGCACCCGCCACGGGAGCGAATCAACGGCGCGGAACGAGAGCGCGATGAGGAACGACAGGGGGGGAGAAACATCGACCTCGGATTGGATCTAAAACCACAATAGATCGGCGACAGGCTCCGCGTAAAAACACCGCACGCTCCTGGGCAGGGTGGGCTATCGGGTCCCTATCGACGATAGACAGGCGGTCACGGAGCGATGCGCCCCCCCCCCCCTGGAGCCTATCTCTCCAAACGTTACCCCTAGGGGGGCGCGAGAAGGGGGGTCAAGGATGGCAAAAAGGAGATTGCGCGAATAAGCTGCACGTCACCATGGGGGAGGCTGGACTTGCTTCGTCGTGTTCCCGAAGTCCCTGAACAAAAACAAGGAGAGGATAAGTCAGCTTCGAATCGGTAAATCAGATCGAATCGACATGTGCATAGGATCGGGCTACACCGACACGGAGCCGAGGTCGGATCGGACCAGCTGCGTGCGTCAGGATGCACAGCAACGTCATGCGAGCATGGGGCCGCATCGGAGTTTCGGCATATCGGAATCAAATCGGATCGGGCCAGTCCGAATCGACATCCGATCGAATCGATCGGATCGAAGAGATTAGACCCTGCAGGAGGGTGGGCCGCATCGGATCTTCGGCAGATCGGAATCGAATCTGATCGGGCCGGCCGGAGTCGACATCCAAAGGGACCGATCGGATCGAAAAAATGGACCCTGCAGGGAGGGGTGGGGGCAACGGATGTTCGGCATATCGGAATTGAGTCGGATCGGGCCAGCTGGAGTCGACATCCGATCTGATCGATCGCATCGAAATTGACCCTGCAGGGGGGGGCAGGGGCGGGCGAGCCGTGGGCGGGAGGGCGAGAGGCGGGCGAGCCGAGGGGCGGGACGAGGCTGCGGCGCTCGGAGGGCTAGGGGACAGCGCAGGGCTTCGCGAGGCCGCCTCTGACCGCCCTCGCCCACTGGTTGCACGAGCGGGAGCTCTGTAAGCATCGGGGCGGCATCGACGCGCCAAGGTTCGGCAGTGTGTGTGTGTGGCTTGTGGGGACCGTCGGCGCTGGGCAGCACCGACCCCAGAATGATAAACCCAGACAGGTAGTAACGAACAAGTCCCATGGAAAGATGGTGATTTCGGGCGAGGGGGTCGGTCGGAGCAACGACGATGTGGAGTGGGCCGCTCTATCTGCCACCGTGCCGTAGGTACTGAGTGGAGCGCGCTCAGGCCCTCAGAGCCCCCTTCATCGGGTATTCGAATGTCGTGAAACCACTTTTGGGGGCCCAGGCCACAACCACAATGCCAGAATCTCGGGGCCAGCGTGGTTTTCCCGACGCAGAGGTGTTAGACAGCGCGGATCCCAAACAGTGATATCTTCCAATACATGCGGCGCAGTCTAGGCGACGCAACCATTGTGGTGCAGTCTAGGTGATGCAATGCCTGTGGTGCAATCTTTGTGGCGCAACGCAATGCAAGGCAATGCGCAGCAATGCAAGCCGATGCTAAGCAATGCAATACAATGTAAAACAACGTGGCGACGGGCGGCGACGAGCCAGCCGGACCGCCGCTGGGGCCCAACGGCGACGGCGGCGACGGGCCTGCCTGACTGGCGCCAGGGCCCAGCAAGGACGGCACCGATGGGCGACGAAGAGCCGTCTGGACCAGGACCGCGGCCCAGTCACCTTCGAACACACGGCAACAAAAAAACCCAAGGCGCAAGCACGGTGTAAATCCGCCGACCCCTTGTGGGTCTCTAGGCGTGTGAGATAGTTCCCCCCCCCATAACCCCCCCCCAGTGTTGGCGGAATCGGCGCAGCAGTAATATCAGAGAGTTCCGACGATGATATATATATATATATATATATATATCACCACAGCAAGATGAATCTGGTAATGTAACCGTGACCACGGCCTCGCTAGCCGTGCAAAAAGGTGTGGCTCCTTGGGCCACGTCAAACAAGTGTACAGTATGGAACTCCCGCCCTTGAGCCAAAACCACGACAAACACGGGCCTCGGGCAGGTAGAGCAGGAATGAATACATATAGCTAACACCGGTTATACTCTTCTCAGTCCTGAAACTACATGTTTCGAGACCGCATGAGACTGCGAGTCGAATCAGAAAGAAAAGAATCATCACATAAAGACTCCAAGGGATCCAAAAAACCTCCCTCGTCTCCAATGGCGGCCTCTACTGGTGCATCTGCGAAAGCACCCTTGCCGTGGCGCTGCGTCCGACGTCCACTTTGGAACATCTCATCAAAAGTGCACTTCCAGCGCTGTGTACACAAAAACTCTCCCATCACATGTCGAGCCGGATATCCCGGTTTCGTCAAACTGTCTGCCAGCATCGCTAGACCATTCACCCATCGAAAAGAAACGCCCGTGCGCAAAATCTGCTCCTTAATGCCTCTGGCCTCCTCACCTGATCTGAAACTGCGCATACCCAGCTGAGGAGACTCTGACTTCAAAATCGCCTCAGAGATGCCACGTGAATCTGTAAGGAACATCCGTGGTACTGTCTTGACTGTGTCGTCCAACTTCCAACGAGTCGGCTCAACTCTATGTAACTCTGCCCACGTCAATCTGGAAAACCACAGCATCTCGTCACCGAACGCGGTTGACTGCGTCTCGTTGTTGTTGGAGCCCGAAATTTTAAAAGGTAGCTTGAGAGATCTCCAACCAAGTATTGAAACATTTGCCATGCTGCCATTCGCAAAGTCAGGAGTCGAGAGACCTGTCACCAGCCCGCCAGTCTTGCTGCCGTCGGGCCTGATCTTGTCACTAGCATCGGCCCGCTGCACCATCCATAACTCATGGCAGTCGTAGTTCTCGAACTGGTGGAACTTGATCACCTGCGAAGCGGACCTTCGCATATCCTTGACAAGCTTGTTGGCGTTCACCAGGTCGCTGATCTTGGCGCTGTTGCCTTGAGATAATGCCAGCCCAACATCCACCGCATATTGTGGAGACACTTGTTGTGCTCTCCAACTGGCTGTGCCCAGTACTCCACGAAGTAGTGAAATCTCTTTCGGCTCGAGTGGTAGATGAGCCTGCTTCTTGCGGTCAGCGTCAATCCTGGCCTCCGTGATGAATTGGTTTAATTTGTTTGTGTAATCGTAGAGGTCCAACGTGGTCGAAAAATCCTTGAACTGGCGGACGCGTAGTCCACTGAATTCAGCCTGACCATAAGTCCATGCTCCCCATCGGTAGAGGTCCCTGATGGCCTTCTCCGCGTCCTCGTACAACTTCGACGT